TTAAAACAGTCATATTCTACTGGCTAGTTGACCCATTAAATAATTTTGAAAATGGTTAAAAAGAAAAAATTAATTATTAGAATCAAGAAAGCCCAAGAGGACCTCCCACACAAATTTCACACTTTTCACCAGTTGGACACTTCATCTGAATTAACTATTTTTTCACATACTATATTTAGCCCCTGTTTGGCCCCCATTAAATTAAATTACATTACATTAAATTTTTCTCTCTCTTCATTACAACCATACATTCATCAAATAAAATAATATTACAAACAAATCTAAAACTTTTCATTATTTTTCCACCACACATTCTCCTATCAATCACTATTACAAAAATTTTTAACTATCAAAAATGTCAAATAATGGGAACCAAACAGGGGCAACTTGTATAAATATCTAACAGAAACCACCAAACGTCAAAGTAGTAACCACGAAAAGCAAAAAAATTGCACAATCACCATAGCCGAGAAACTGTCACTATCACAGTAGAAACCACCAAAAATAAAAAATTTCAACTGTTGAAAGCAAAAAAATTGCACAATGACCATAGCCAAGAAAGGTTCAGAAGCAAAAAAAAAATTGGCAAAACGCATGACGTTCTCATGAGCCAATTTTTTTTAATTCGGTGCAACATTCGTGTACGAAGGTCACGCCCGCAGACAAGTTCAGGTCCGAAACCTATTTTGGTTTGTAATTTGCACCCCTCCTACACGTTCACGTGGAGATAGCATCTTTGCTACATATGATTATACACTTCCAAAGTATAGCCATATATAAAATGGTTCTTGCTTTCATCAACTTTTTATATGGGATAAACTCAAATTTAGTTTTCTCACCAATATAAACCATATTCCAATGGTCCACTTTACACTCCAATTTTTCATTCACCTGAACTTCATTTTTAGCAAGCAAATACATGATTTTGATATTCTCATGGAGGAGAACACAAATCAATGTTGATCTTTCAAAATAAGCAAACGGGGTCTCACTCAAAATTTATGCCAAAATTAACCATCTCCTCATTTTTTTTTCCAACACTACTTTCGTTGAACATTTGGTGTTTTACATCAAAAAACTGTAAGTGAACAAATTGAAGCGGTTCCATATATATCTCTGTTTGACACATATTAAAATTTTCATTCTTATTTTTCTACTCATTTTCAATCACTCATTTTTCAATAAAATAATATTTTCCATCACATCAATAACTTTTCCTTCTTTTTCAACCACATATTCTCCATTAATTTACTATTCCAAAATATATTCTTCCAAAATAATATCACAAAGCGGCAGTTGTATGA